AAGGCAAAACTTGTTGTATTCGAGATATCTAACCTATCAAAAAGGTGCAGAACCGACAGAGAGGGAAGGAGAAGAAAACAAAGAAGACAAAGAAACTCGATGTGCGACTTGACAAGTTGACTAGAAGCGAGGTCATGTGGAAAGCAACCACGTGACCAGTCAGGTCTGCGCCAGGGCCTGACATCGTACCTCCCCCCCTCAGAGGGTCGTCCCTGATCCCTCATGAATTGCCTTGCCGGGGACGAATTGCACGGCGGTACTGATTCATCTAACTCTTCGGGTGCTTCGGCGGTTAGATTTGGGCTTCATATCGTCGGGTCGAACGGGTAGGGCCGGGCAGTCGGGATGAGTTCGTATAAATTCATCAAGGCGTTCGGGGCAGTTGGTGAGGTGCCAGAAAGGCTCCCATGTATCCTCTTCTTCATCACATCCTTCCCATCGGACTCGGAATCGAATTTGGTCATTCTCATCGCGAACGGCGTCAGTAATAGCTCGTACCGTATATTCCTTCCTGCCATCGACATAAGTCGGCCTAGTTAGATCTTCAGGTTCCTCATTTTCCTCTTGTCCTGGAACAGGGGGGTGGTATGGCTCCAGTAATTCAATATGGAACACAGGGTGGACCTTAAACTGCGGAGGGAGATCTAATTCGTAAGCATTCTTATTAATAGCACGCTTAATGGTAAATGGGCCTTCCTTCTTTCGATCAAGTTTCTTGCAGGGCCGTTGACTCCGTATATTGGTTGTCCGGAGATAGACTTGATCCCCAACTTCAAAAACCATGTCGGCGCGTTTGCGGTCGTAGTATTTCTTGTTCGTTTCCTGGGCGCGTTGGAGGTTCTCCCGTAGGATCTCATGAAGCTCCTTCATAAAGTCTGCATAAATGGCAGCATCGATATCTGTAATTTTCCGGCCTGGATGTTCTGGTACAAATTCGACGTCGGGGTCGTAGCCATGTTCCGCAAAGAATGGTGAGACTCCTAGGGCAGAGTGTTTTGAGTTGCACCAAGCCATCTCGGCCATGTCGAGCCATTCGTCCCAGTCGTCTTGCAAATAATTGGTAAAAGCCCGAAGATATGCCTCAATAACTTCGTTCATACGCTCTGTCTGCCCATCGGACTGTGGATGGTAGGCAGTAGACGGATTAAATTCCATTCGAAGATCGTTGCCCAGTTGACTCCAGAACGAATTGAGCCAACGTTTATCGCGATCCATTATCCATGAACGAGGAATTCCCTTCTTTGAGATCACATTTTTGCGAGTCAGGATTGCGGCTTCCTTAGCTCCAGCCGTCTTCCGAGTTGAGGCGAGGATAATACCCTTACTAAAATGATCGACATGCACTTGGATACAATCATGGCCATATTTTGTCCTTGGTAGATCGGTAATCAAGTCAATGCCAATTCGGGACCAAGGTTTCTCAGGTGGTGGTAGTGGTTCGAGCCGCCCAAAGGTTAGATGAGTATTAGCCTTGTTCTGCTGGCACTGTGAGCATCCTAAACAGTATTCCTCAACATCCTTTTTCATTCGTGGCCAGTAGTATTTGCGTTGTATCAGTTCGAGTGTTCGTTTCTGACCCATATGACCTGCCAGTGGGGCATTGTGCAATCGTCGAAATACCTCCATCCGTACATCCTTTGGCACATAAAACCGATCATGATAGAACAGGAGCCCATTACGTGCCTCCCAGCCCTGTGGGGGATCCTTATATATCTCAGTGGCCGTCTCATCTGTAACCAATTTCTCCTTAATCCTTTCTTCCATATCAGGACTAAGAGCGAGGGCGGCAATTTCCACTTGATTTGGTTCTGGAGACTGTTCGAATCGCAAGGATGCAGAGGCAAATTTGAGGAATGCCTTAGGCTCTTCGGGGAATTCATCCTCAATGACATAGTCTGGTCGACGAGAAGGTCCGTCTGCAGGATTAAGGTGACCCTGGATATGTTCTATCACAAAATCAAACCGGCTTAGGCGTTCAGCCCATCGTACTTGCAACGGTTTCAAGTCCTTAGTAGTCATGAAATTTCGCAAATTAGCATGGTCCGATCTCACAATGACAGTATATCGAGCTCCTTTGACACATATGGTCTAAATCGTTCCATTCCCCACACGATAGCAAGGAGTTCTTGATCTGGGGTAGAGTATTTGCGTTCACTGGTGCTAAACTTCTTGCTCCAGATCATCACTGGCCTCATTCTCTCATTATCATCTTTTTGGCAGAGGATTGCAGAGGCAGCGTCGTTACTAGCATCGGTATAGACGTAGATCTGTCTATCAGGGTCAAAGTGCATTAATATTCTTCCTGGCACAAATTCAGCCTTTAGTCGTTCGAAGGCAGCTTGTTCTTTTGGTCCCCAGTCAAACTGTCTTCCTTTTCGGGTAAGGTCCGTCAAAGGTTTGGCAATATGGGAGAATCGTGGCACAAATCGCCGATAGAATCCAGCAGTCCCAATAAAGGCCTGAACATCTCGTACTCGTTTAGGCACAGGCCATTTCTGGATCGTCTGAATTAGGTCTTCTTCCATAGAGATACCTTCTGGTGAGATCTGGAAGCCCAAGAAGTTAACAGTCTGAACATGGAATCTGCATTTCCGTAGCTTAACACATAACCCCCATTCTCGAAGGCGTTGGAGGCAGTGACGTGTCCGTTCCTGTACTTCTTCCAATGTAGATCCATAGATCAAGATATCATCGAGGTATGCGATTAGTTCCTCGTCGATTAATCCATGTAGGGCCTGGTCGATATATCGTTGGAAGGTTGCCGGGGCATTGCATAGTCCAAACGGCATCACCAACCACTCAAAGAGTCCATACCGGGTCTAAAAGGCAGTCTTCCACTCATCTCCCTTCCGATCCGGATATGGTGGAAGCCATCCCGCAAGTCTAGCTTCACGAAATACTTTGCCTTTCGGACGCGGTCAAGTAGTACATCGATCAAGGTAAGGGTATCTATCTTCTCCGTCATGCATTCATATCTATAGTCGCACACATCCGGGATCAGAGCGCCTTTTTTTGCGGCAAAAAGGGTAGGGGCACCCGCGGATGACTGGCTCCTTCGAATAAACCCCCTTCTCATTAATTCATCGGTCTTCTCCTTCGTGATCTGTAGCTCTAACTCTGACTGATGATACTGACGCAGACTTGGCGGGCTTAACCCAGGTTTCAGGTTAATTGCATGAGCAAATTCGGGTCGGTAAGGGAGTGGCTGATTCATCCGAGAGGGTTCAAATATATCACGGAATTCCTCATAGATCTCTGGCAATTCAACATCACCGTCGATAAGGCGTTGTGGGAATGGATGTTTACTCATTTGATCTTCTTCAAAGGCGGCAGCAACCTGAATCCGCCAATCTTCAAACCTCTTTGGAATCTTTGGTTCATATCTTCCCTTGTAGTGGAATGGCGTCCACATTCGGGTAACGGTAATTCCTGCAGCTCGAATAGCTGCATTAATGGCATCCTGTTGTTCTTCTTCATCTCGATCAGAATCCTTGGCAGGATCCTTAAGGTCATTATCATCAATCCTTCCAATAGGATCGTCGTTCTTCTCGATCCGTCCATTAGGATCGTCGTCTCCAGAGTCCTTGGTGGGACTCTTAATATCACGGGGTTCTTCCGGGGAAACTGACGTGTTATCAGTAATTCCTAGCTTCGTCCTTAGGTCGTCCAATAGACCATTCTTCCTCAACCAGTCGGCACCTAAGACTAAGTCGGTACTTAGTCCAAGGGGCATACAAATCGGTTCAGCTTCAAAAATTCCAAATCGTGGGATTCGGCCTCTGACTCGGTAGACAGGGACCTGAGAATTTCCTAGTTCAATCTTCCTTCCACTGATGTCTTGTACTTCGACTTCCTCATGTCGAATTGGTTTCATGTTAAATTCGTCTCGTAGCTTTGGTGACTGAAAGGTTCCATCAGAGCCAGTGTCGTATAGGATCCTAATCTTTCGTCCTCGTAACCATCCGATTCCTCGAAGCTGCATCCGCCCTCTATTCCTTGTAGTAGTTGGGATCGCGCCTACTGCCATAGCGGAGGTAGTCAGTAGGCTTACTCGTTTTCCGAAGGTAGTTCTACCGCGGCTACCGACTTGGTGGCGGGGTTAGCCTTTGTATCCTTCTTCGGCTTATTGCAGTCTCGAGAGATATGGCCTGGTTCGTTACAATTAAAGCAAAGTCCCTTCCTAAGGTGCTCGCTGCGGATATCCTCAGAACCGTCAGCAGGCTTAGTATCCTTGGGTTTGGAACTGGTCTTCCGATCTCCCTTCCTGGCAGCGGAGTGTTGCTTCTTGCTCTCCTTATACTCCCGCTCTAAGCGTAGCCCTTTCTGCTTAACCTTATCGTAATCCTCAATGTTGATATCAGACCGACGGATGGCCCCACGAAGTCCGGGTTGCAAGGATTTGAGGAAAAGGGTGGCTTTAGTACTTTCTGGCCAGTCAACCTGAGAGCAAAGGGTTTCGAATTCAGTAATGTGATCCAGCAAATCGTCCGAGCTATTATGCTGAAGAGAAAGGAGTTTCTCCTGCTGATTAGCAATACGATCGGGATCCTCAAAATGCTTGTTTATGGCGGCCTTAAACAACTTCCAGCTCTTAAGGACTCCCTCAGGATCATGACGATAGTATTGTTGCGCCCATTTGTCGGGTTTCTCATCAAATCCCTTCATCACGTATGCGACCTTGTATTCTTCGGTTGGAAAGCTTGTTTCGTAGAGGCGGAAGTCCAATTCTACTGCATTGAGAAACCGCTCTAGATTCTCGGACTTCCCATCGAACTTGGCTCCTTTGAATTCCTTTGGCTTAATACCGGTAGTAACGGAACTAGGAGCGGCAGAGGTTCCTCGACTTGCTTCTTGGAGTTGTTTGAATTCGGCCTCACTCCTTCTGAGCTCAGCATGGAGAAGTCGATTAGTGCGTTCGGTCTCCAATATCTGTTCCTTGGCTTCGGCTAGTTCCGTATGGAATTGCTTTTCCAGGGAAATACACTCAGCCTCTTTTTCCAAATAAGCCGTGTGTTCGTTTCGGTTCTCCATGATAAGGCCCGCGACCAGCTTCCTCAGTTCGGTAGAGCCGGTGGTTAAAAGCTCCTTAATCATTCCATTATAATCCTTGACGGAGATATCGAGATCTTCAGTGTTCTCCACTTCTTCCATAAAGGCAGTCACCTCCTCATCTAATTCATCAAAGTGATCCTCAGCCGTCTGGATCAATGACGGACGGCTTAGGCGAGCCATAGTGTCGTATTGTCGATTTGGCTCGCCTCCTGATCGGCTGGTTTGTAAGAGATAGGGTAGACAGACGAATGAAGGTCGGTTCTATGTCAAGACCTCGCGATGAAGGCAAAACTTGTTGTATTCGAGATATCTAACCTATCAAAAAGGTGCAGAACCGACAGAGAGGGAAGGAGAAGAAAACAAAGAAGACAAAGAAACTCGATGTGCGACTTGACAAGTTGACTAGAAGCGAGGTCATGTGGAAAGCAACCACGTGACCAGTCAGGTCTGCGCCAGGGCCTGACAACAAAAGACTCTGTTAGATCCAAGTCTCTGATATTCTTTACTCTCTCTTTTGCAGTTACCACCCATCTTCTAAGATGGTACTGACCCGCTCTGCTTCAAAGAGAAAGGGGGAGCAACAATTGGTACAGAATCAACCAAAGCGCTGCAAGGACAATGCCTCTTCAAAGGGAAACAAGAAAGATAACCGGCTCTAATTATCCAGAAGATAGTTAAAAATGACTAAAGATGTTTGGTTGTTTCTTCTGATCAGGCTGAGCCATGACCGCAATAATCCAGCGACACTGGTGTCTGCTCGCGTCTGCATCTATCACTGTCACTGACAGTGGTGGTGTTGTTAATAATCCCTGTTGAGACCCACTTTCCGGCGTTCTGTAGACCCCTGTCGAGGCTACCTGACTTTTGAGTCAGGGGAGGAGTACAGGACTCCAGCCTTGAGGTCGGTTACCAGGGCCAGCTGAATACTAAAATATCATGAGCCATGAATACGTGCATGGGCTGCAGGGAGCTGACTGACCTATCTCGTTTTTTTTGGCACTAATTTGGCGGGTTGGCCACAGTGGCTTGCCATACATAGGGGGAGCGTTATGATCATGGGTTGTATCCAAGAGCTTTCTGGACAAGATGCCACAAGGCCACAAGACTACACCTTCTGACCGGAAAAGTGCCAGAAATTGGTTCAAGACTAACAAGTTGCTTTTGTTCCAGGGAATTAAATTGACAGATTGCCGATTTGTAAAATCTCAGGCTACTTGCCTTCCCCCTAATGGAGATAATTTTGGAATCCTTGTCAGGTTATAGACTGCAGTATATCCCGCCGGTCCAAATATCGAAATTTTCATTAAGGCCTAGTATTTCGAGAGTCTCGGTCAACTAGAACGGTATGAAAACAGCTTACGGCGTGACAAGCCCCCGCTGGCGGCTAGAATCTCTGGTTAGTTAGATCAAGGCAACAACGTTTACCCCCTAGTCTTTGCCTGAGACGGGTGACTATCATGGTGAGACCTCATTGGTCTGACGCTACGTCAACAATCCTAGACTGGTATATAGAGGCTGTAGCCGCCTCGCTCTAGGGGCTTGTTGAAGTTTGCATTCGAACCCGCTTTTTGAGACTTTCAATTTTGACCACGAAAAAGCAGCAGCAGGCTAAGGATGTCAACCGCTGAGCAGATTGTCCAGACTTTGGATGAGGTTTCTAAACGACTTTAGACTATTGGTCTCGATGATGCTATCTTCGAGACTCGAGAGGGAAGTGTTCATGGATGTCGGCACAGATTGCCGTTCATCATTCATTGCAAAGGATTGTGTCACACATACTTCAATCCAAATCTTCTGTTCCTCTTCCAAATTCCCAAGCCCAAATCGGCAAATTTCTCGAGTCCTTGTATGGAAGTGAAGCCGCTCCCAGTCCTACACTAGAGTCGCGATGGCAGCAGTTGCGAAATTTAGATTGCAGGATTTTCCCGTTGATCGCCGTCTCTTATACTCGATCTATAAAATCAACGGGAGTTGCTCCGCCCTCATCATGGCTAGATGAATCTTCCTTGCGACCACCCTTCCGGCAGTCGCTTGTCTCGCGGCGTGTGCTCCCGTTGCAGAGAAGGCTAGGCCTTCCCCCCCCTTAACTAAAAAAGATGACTTTCATTACCTGTGTAGTTGTTGAATTTGACTGACCGACACATCGATCTTGGACGGCGAGTCTGTCTGGATAGACAAGGCTTAGTCAAGGTACCTGGCTTGAGGTCACGATGGAAATCCACAATTGGTCAGTCAGATTAGCTGATAGCTGGGTTATACCACGACTAAGGGGTTGATTCATTATTCGATTGATCAATTCACTGAAAAGATGGCGATGGACGACGGAAAATGTTTACATTTACATTTTACGCTTGAAAGCTAGCTATCCTTCTACTGCCTAGGTACATACATGGACCTACCGAGCAAAAATCTACGAGCACCCGGTCGACTGCCCTTCTCGTTTTAGTAGGTGAGCATCGCCGCCTTAAGCTCACCTGATGGTGGGTGAGGGACGGGTGAGTGGAGTGATTAGTGCAGGGCTGGTTCAACTTTGGTCTTTCAGCTGATGTGGCTTATCCTTCGTGTTGACTGTGTTGCCCAAGAATGTCCACAAGTGGGCCTGCATCCTGTCTGAGCATTTCCAAGATAAGACATTCGTGACAGTGCAGGGGTGTCTGAGAGCTGGGCATCTAGGAAACAGTATGTCGGTGACTTCTTACAGGATACACGTCAGGACGTACCTGCCTAGCTGGCACCTGTCGCAATCATGGGACATTGTAGGCTACCTTTTTTTTTAGATTAAGTAGCATATCAGACGCTAACAACTTCCCATATCAGGCATTTTTAAGGAACAATAAAATGACTTAAATCTCCCCTCTTCAACCGTGCTATTCTTAGTGTTGCCGCTACAATATCTCTCAGAAGGTTTTAAGTGGTGAAATTTCCATCAGATAAAGATACATTGCACGAGCGAGTGACAGACTAGAGCTAACGCAAATGCCAAACACAACAACAAGTTCTTGAACAGGTGGTACATGGTTCCCCTTCACATCCAGCTTGAGCATTGCCTCCTTCCCAAGGACCTCCTATCAATCTTCTCCGTCGGATTCATTCCACTCCAAACGTCCATGAATAAAGCCGGTCATTTCTTCGACTTCCTGCTTTGAGAAGAGGTACCAGCCGCCCTCATCAACGCCTCTTCGGTCGACGATGGAAGTTTGATTTCGTCCAAACTTCCACTACGGGGCTCCACTCCTCTCGACTTCTGTGAGGCCGTGCCGCGGTCTTTCATTTCTTCCGCCTGATCCTTCGAGATATCCATGTTGAATCTGGTTTCTTCGCGGGACATAGTTTCTGGACACGACGCCTAACGAGCCAGAAAACAAGCCTGTAAAGCGTCAGCGGCTATCAAGGTGCCGGAGATTGAAATCAAAAGTTGACAGCGGGTTAGGCTTGCTCACTGGGACAAGAGAAGGCGAATTTCTGTGTTAATCTCCGGTTGTAGTAAATTTGGATTTGCTGCTTGAAGCGAGGTTGAGAGTTGAATGATAGAATAATGGAGCAGTGATTTAATATGGCCACCTGGCTATATCTTGAGACTTCTTTGTAATAGCAGAAACTGTTTGATGGACTTGAGGACTCAAGAGGAGATTCCAGGTTGGGCTGCTGCCCTTTTATGCTCAAATCCAACAATCATGTCACCGATCAATTGGCGAGCGCCTTTAGGAAACCAGACAAGAAGTGACAAGTTCGATGTGGACATCGAAGAGCGCATTTATCCGATTGCTGGCACCGGCGGCAACTATGATACCACAGCTGCTGAGTGGGAAGAAATTCAGAAGCATAATGAACTGGTGCATAATATAGTAGTAGTAGCAGCAAAATGGTAGCAAGACACTTAGGTGGCAATAACTTGTGACAACACTTACACTTAGCACTACAACTGTATCATAAATGGGTCATAACAGTGTCCACTCCTGATCTATAGAAGCATGAGTAGCCGGCACAATTTCTTAGTCATTCAAAGGTGGGATATCTATGCTGGACTGTATGTATAAATCTCTACCTAATTGTCTGTGCACTGTAAAGCAGCCTTCAGACCCCACAGTCAGTCAGGATCCGCTCTTCCTTTTCTTTCAACTTCCTCTGAATGAAGCCATCCATCTGTTCCCTTTCTTCTGGTGTCAAAAGCTGGAGACGATCTTCGAGATCTCCATCGCCAAAGAACCTGCGATCAATCTTCGCCCAATAGATCATATCGAAAGCCCAACTTTTCCTAGCAGCGTAGTTGAGCCAAAAATCACCGCTTTGCCAACTTTCTAGCATACGCCCAAATAGGCGATCTGTGTCCTTGAGAGTCCCTTGGGCAATGGCTTTCTCCTCTCTCTCCTTAAGCACCTTGAAAAAGATCGGGAGAACTTTCTCATAGTTTTCGATCCAGTCATCAAGACCCTTCTCCCAAAACTCGGGAAGTTCGAGCAACAGCCAGAATGGGGGGCTATATGCGAATCCGGTTGGAGCTGCGTAGGTAAACTCCCAGTCCACTACCCCTGTCATTTGGAATTTCTCGTTGCAAAGCACATTCCCTGGCCGGAAGTCATCGCAGAAGAGCTTAAAAGGACCAGTGTCATCGGCACAGAGCTGATGCTCCCGAGTAATTTTACGGAATAGACATCTGGCAATGTACTTCTGGCGGCAATCTTCGGCGGACTCAATAGCGTCATTGCGCTGGGAAGACAAGTGAGTCATATGCATCTCAGCAAGGGCCTGATAGTAAGATGAGGCGGTCTTGAATGTCTGCTGAGGAAGGAGTTCAGGGTGGACATCGCCTAGTTGAACAAGTTCATTCATGTTGAAGGTAAGTGGACGGTGCTTGACTATCCAGGTGTCATCAAATTCGTCATCTTCGTTTGCCTTGGCAATACAACCGATCTCGGAGAATGAATGCTTGGATAATTGTAGTATGATATCTGCCATCTGGCTATAGACTAGCTCCAGCCTGTCTGCTGAAACATTTGGGTCCAAAAATGGCCTATCCTGACGTGAACGACCGGGGACGTTGAGAGCATCGATGAAGTCATGCTCATGGTTGATATACTCCATGACGATGAAGGGTCCTAGATCCCTCGGGCTCTGCTCGGTCATGCCATAGTGAAGAATGTGAGGCACAGGAATGTTGGTAAACAATTCAAGAAAGCGCATCACGGCAACTTCCCTTTTCACCTTCTCTTCCGGAAACACGGATGCCCCAGGACATGGAAATCGGATTACGGCCGAGCCTCCGTCTTTGAATCTCATTCGAAGCCAAGTATTAAAAGCTCCGCGTTTGGGAGCAAATAGCTCGTCTGGGACCCCTCCCCGGTGCTTCTCGATAAAGCCTCCAATTGCCCGGAGGACATCACGTTCGAAGAGTTTGTCTTTCCAAGGTTCGAATAGCCTGTCACCTCGGTCCCATGCAAGGTCGTCATAGTCCATGCATTGTGCTGTAACGATGGGAGCAGCTGAGGTGGGAGACATTTTCGAAAAACAAAGACTTCAACACCGTATTTTCGCAATCAAGAAGTTCAAAATGGAACGTTTGGAAAAACGACAGTAGGACAGGAAGGACGGTCATAAATGATCAATCAGTTTGTGGATGCTTTCGTGGCCAGGCTTTGCCAAGCCACATCGTGTTTTAATTAAGCGCGCTGATCTCCCGTACGACGCACGGGGTTTATTTCCCTTTCTCCGCTTCACTTTCACCCCTGAGCAGTCGCTCGACCAATGGAACACAATATCAATGGAAGCGTTATATTTAGAAGTCGTGTATATAGAAATATTGCTTTCGTTTCGTAGAACTAAGGCGACTGTTCCACTTGTGATGACTGTTGTCAAGGCTTGTGGCCCATTCATTCCGTCTGAACACTGCACAGAGCGCATTGCGCGCGCTAACAGTTTCAGATTGAAATGTCACTCGACCTCTCCCCAGGTATACTAAACTATTATCTAAAACTGGCGGCAAACAAGGACTGTCAATTCTGTAGCGTCACACCACTTTCCGATACCACACTTTGCGGACCTGTTGGTCAGCGAAACGCGACGGTCTCATGAGGCCTTCTGGGCTTCTCGTTGCCAACGATTTACCACACGTCGTTGTTATCTGAAGCTGATTGAGGCAGTGCAGGTTCTGCAAATGTTTCAAGGCTGAAATTCTAGGCTCCAATTCTCGGACAGTCATCAAGGCGTAGGCAGGCGCGAATTCCTTTAGAGACCAAGAATAACCCGTGTAATAGCCCGTGTTGCCTTGAGGAAGGTATATTCAACGCTGTTGAGACAGACAAATCGCTCTAGGTTTTCACATTCCAGGGCAAACACATTCCAGGGCAAAGCCAGCAAGCTTTTCACTGGCGCCAATGATAATGTCCTTGATCTTCCCCAACGGGCGGGCCAGATTGATTGAAGAAGCGGCATGGATGATAACGTTGATCTGCGGCTGGAGTGTCGACAGGGTAGTATACATGTCCATCTCAACAATATCATCATCCAATACAGTGATGTTGGTTGCTTTGCAGAGCTTTTCAGCATCTTCGTTGTGAAGCCACTGCTTCCATTTCTCCTCGAGACTCCTATTTTTGTTTCTTAGCTATGTGAATCTACTAATGCGAAACACACAGAAAGCAAACTTACAAGCGACCATTTCTGCAGATGATATATATACGACCGACTGTCGGGGCCTTGGTAATAATTCGGTGCACGAGTGCAGTGCCCAGGAATCCTGAACCACCGGTAATCAGGATGTGCTTTCCAGAATACTTTTCCCACATGATGGCAAATCTCAAATATATGTTAGTCAATGAATGTATATGTGCATGTATGTACATGTCGTTAACAGCGACATGATCTACCGGGCAGGCCGACCCTTCAAATATTCGGGAATCAGGATTCAGGATTACTCTATATTGCTCTGCGCCTCTCATGAAATATTGAAATTGGTTAGATGAATCATCCTGAAGTAGAACACCGCAGTTAGTTGAACAGGTACATAACAAGAATATGTCTATAGTAGCCAGGGACTGTAGAAAGTTCAACAGAAGACAGACATACAAACTCTCAAACCACTATAACGGGGGAAATAAGTAGTAGTGTATAAGTAATTTTTAATAGTGCTTAGTCTCTGTTAGTGAGACCAACAACTTTCTATACCTGGAAGGAGGATCTGATTTGCACTCGCGAGTGGGTGAGGCTCCGACCTCGAGTAATAGGATCAAGTAACAACCACAGGGGTCTTCTGAGTAACAAGGAGGCAAGGTGATTAGGTCAGGTCAACGTCTATTAGAGCTATACCAAAGGTATACCAATAGTAGTAAGATGTCTTACTGACCCTCCAAGTAAGTATCTCAGTAAACTATTAACATTGAACGCGAGATAAGAAAGACTAGATACATGAGCGAGAGTGAGCTTCCTTTTATGTTTCCTTCTTGTATACCATTCTGTATACCATTCATTGGTATATCCTTATGGTATTCCTCTGCCACGTCATCCTCTGTATACCATCTTTGTGTACCATCTCATGGTATGTTGTCATGGTATATTGTCACGTGACTCCAGTATCCCTGTTTCTGCCTTGCGGGGTGTTTTTTCATCCTGCATTGCTGTGTTGGACAGCGTCTCATTTTGTTGGTTCGTAGGACTCTCCTTTTCTGCTGAAGGGACTCCCTTTAAGATCCTCCTATCTCTATGCCCACCGCGTTAAACCCTCCTGATATTCCCCCAACCGCTTGAAGACTTTGAAATCTTTGATTCCGCGCACCTGCCTCATATTGGCAGAAAAGAAGGCTGCAAGCCGAGCTTAGTACAGAGGCCGTGGTGTTGTTTCTGTCATAGCTAATAGGTAGCTTGTGTCCTGTTGGGAACTCCTTGAGGAAATAATCCTACAAGGATGGAGATCTCAATATCTGTTAACAGTATAGAATAGAGGGATAAATACGTAAGAGGTTAACAAGCTTGACCCATGGTGGGGCAACTGTGCTGCATGCCCCACCGACTCTTACATGTTAAACTTTTGCACAATGTCCTCTTTTAAACAATGTTTCTTTTTGCATGATGGCTTCTTTACCTACTGGTTTCTCACCTGTTGCCTCTCCATTCAAGCCGGGAACCAAGCCCAAAGTCACTCATGCTCTGGAAAGCATCCACCTAGGCAACTGCAATGCAGTTCCAAAAATGGACTTTTGTGAGGGTGTCAGAATAATGCCATCAGAGCAGATAATTAAATGCGGCAGCCTCACCCTCATCACCTAAGATCTTTGCATCTCCTCCATCTCAGCAACAGTGGACAAGGAAATTGATTGAAATGACTCGAAAGACTTTCGTAAGGAAGCGCCAGTCAGAGAATCTTCGGTCCAAGACGCAACAGAAGAACCGCCGCAAGGATGGACTGTTTCGGAAGGCCTATCAATACTGCATTGAATGTGATGCAGATGTTTATGTCGTCCTTCGCATCAGGAGGAATGGTCAGATCTATGTCTTCAACTCCGACTCCACTGGGGAGTGGCCGCCTTCCAAAGAACAATTAGTACGTTAGAACACTGGTTGTACACCGTCTTCTTACTAACCATTAATAGAACAAATATTACCTGTTCCAATCCAGAAGAACCTAAAAGACCTAGAATCTGAACATATTACTTATGTTCCACCGGCATAGGAGGACTCCCAAAGAACTTAAGGGGTCTAAATAGTCGAGGAGTTCTAAATGGCCTGAGGGCCCTGAACAGCCTGACGGTCTGGACAGCCAGTATCTGGAGGACCAGAATGCAGCGCAGAAAAAAGACAAAAAAGAAATAAAGGGGTGCAATGCAGTAGAAAGTATATAAGTTTCTTATTAAAAAGAAAGGCATACCTGAGGACTGCTATATTGGAGAGGGACATGCACTGCTAGAACTTTTTGTGATGAAAGACAGCCAAGGAAGCTTTTTTTTTTAAATAGAGTGCTTTAGTGGACAGTTTCTCATACTCTTACACCTGTCTTTGCAATTCTCCCATGAAGTACTGAGATTCTTTTGTACAGTGCCAGAAGTATCTTGTTATCTGTGAACATTATAACTTCCTGAGTCCTATCTCTATACTAAATATTCCTTCTTATTTGTGATTCTCCCCTTCACTCAACAATTGGCTGTCTCTCAGCATAAGCAGTGCACCACCACGCCATTTCTATATAAAGAGGTTATGCTTTCCAGAACTCGTCTTTATCTGAAAATAAAATATATAATAGGAATGTTTATGTCCAAATGTTGGCCATATATCAACAGTAAATCCAGCCAAGCATCCATTGATTGTCCTCAGAGAAAGTCGCCTAGTCGGAAAACCCAATAATGTATAGATTAGATATCGACTGGGGTCTCTCTTTATCTTACACTAGCTTGAACTGGTAATCCAATTACACTGAGGTACTCCGTACTATTAATAATGATGGTAGCAAACAGAGTTCCACCAGGCGGCCAGTGACCCACCCTAATGTCCCAGACCTCACCAAAATTGTTAAACAGAACCACCCAGCCATTCTTAGAACTATTTGCTGTCACCAAGCTTTGATTGACAGGTATCAACTAATCAGTGTCCTGACCAAACCCCCCCAAAAAAAACGAATTGTGATAAGAACAGGCGCATCTATTCTAATGCTCAAACTGCAATAACTGTTCGGAAGGCGGTTCAAGCAATCTGCCTGTGTTCATGCCCCTCCTTTAGTCTGCTGCAATTTGAAAAACCCATCTTTGACAAAACAGTGAACAATTATCTTTTAGTCTATTGAATCAGCAATGAATGGTCAGACTTAGAATTCTATCATAGAAATGCCTTAGAACAGAAGGCGAAGTGTTTAAGGAGAACAAACTAGGCGCAAACAATGATGCCGCACTCAAGAAAGCTACAAGATAATGTCCTTCTCAGGACCAACCAGACATAGTGTTCAAACCCTGCTGCTGTCGTCTGGTAACTGAAGTGTTCAAAGGCGAAACCCTACACAACGATCTCTTAGTAGATAGTAAATCAGGGCGAGAATAGAAGGCTTCTTTTTAGCATGAGAGCAGGCCGAGGAATCAGCAGAATAGTTTGTGTAAGCTTCGGTGAAGGCTTAAGGCAAGGTTTCTCTCTCATCTGGAGCAAGCCTCTGTATGGTCAAACAGTTCCAGCAATAACCTCCTGTTCGGATCCTTGAACCTTCCCTAACCACTTATGTGGAGTATCTGTGATTTAGGTCAGCCCAGCGCGTAACACATTCCACTGCGGACATTACTAATACAACAACTGCTCTAGCACAACCACCCAGTACAGATTAGTGTGTGAGATGGAGTTGTACAAACAAGAATTCAAACATTACCATCAGATTGTTACGCGCTGGGTCCAACCGTAGTCGTTCGATACTTAGCAATGGTGGTTAGGGAAGGATCAAGGAGTCTTCTTGACTCTATGTCGTTCACGAGCACGCGACGGTCTAGCTGACCCGGGTCTCCTCTCCTCGAGACAACGGCCTAACTGGCGAAGGGCTCTTCCTCGAACGACAAACATCTCCCATCCCTGTCGCATTAGCTGCCTATCAGGGCCAGCCGCATCAAGTCCCCCGCTCAAGCCCCCAAACCTCATCGGCAAGGTCATACTCCCAAGCATGTTCATCCATATAGACAGTCTTCTAATCTACCTGTTTGCCCCCAAGTGGTTGGATTGTTTCCCTCTTTTCTTCTATTTGCTGTGCAGATAATGACTCCACGCTAATATTATTTACGGTCGGGATTCCGGGCCCTAAAAAGGTCTTAGCGACGTACAAGGAAGGCGGTGAGGGAAGGTTCTGGCAGAATCCTAGGATAATGGGTTGGAGGCAGCACCTCGTATTCTAATTTCTTCCCTCAGCCTAATCTATTCGTATTGAGCCGCTTATTAGATAGATTCTAACCAAATAAACTGGGTTCGTCACACGAAGAACTTCTCATGGATGTTTAGAGACAGATGTGGTGTCTCAAACCTATGGATGACCTAGATCTCTCCAGTAAAGAGCATTGAGCTGTGATTTCGCATCCGCTGCAGAAGACGATATTTCCAGAACTAAGCGGGGAGTCAATGGTTGACTCTTCTCTATTGAGCCACAATCATCGCTTTGGAGGATCGCTATATATCCGAATATTCATTCGTTGTTAAACATCTCTAAACCACCTATGCGTCAATGCCTCGTGTGCTGTGAGCCTCTTTGCTGGATCAAAGTTCATCAAGCCGCCAATAAGATCTTTGAAATCTGGATCGACATTCTGCCACAACGAGAACGGTCTACGCGGGTTTCTCTCACCAAAGCCGTCCCGGAGAACTTCAATGACCTCACGCCAAGGGCTGTCCCCAAGATACTCTAAAAACCCGTCCAGTCCATCTGTATCAGCAAAATATGAAATCTGGCGCTCAAGGAGAACAGCTAATGGCTCGTCTTCACCCAGCTCACTGTCGTCGATGGCAAAGATAACTCGTTTCAGTACAGCATAAATACACTGTATAATGACACAAGTAAACATCTGTTCTTCCGGAGAATTTGGTAGCAGAAATGCAACTCACCACAATACCAAAGGAAAATATGTCAGACGGCTTGTTAACTCGACCCTGTGTATGTGCTTCTGGACTGCGCCACATCCAGTTGCCCACCTGTTTGCCGACAATGTCACACTCAGGAGGTACATATGCGGCGTCTTCAATGTCACCAAGCTGAACCCGCTTAATGACTACCTCGGAATCTTTATGCTCATATTCAACCAAGATATTATTTGGTTTAACATCTGCAGCCCATTAGTCGCTGCCTGTTGCACCCACACAGAAATACTTCTTACCTGTGTGAACAATGTTCTGATCATGCATCGCTGCAAGTCCACGGAGGGTATCTTTGAGAATCCGCTTTGTAACTGTGAGCGGCAGGTCCTTTTGAGCCAGGCTTAAGAGGTCGTCGGTAAAGTATTCATAGACAAACATTGACGGTTCTGGAATTGTGTCTTGTGATACACGAAGATACTGACAACTCTGTAAGCGGTGGTGTATATCCTGAAAGTACTCTAAATTGGACTGCAAGACTTCCTTCAGAATGAATTTCTGGTTTCCAGCGCTGTATTGCAAGAAGTCAGCATATTATACTGACGATTACACAGCCTCAGGGACATATACCTCGCAAGGTAGACGCGGTGAGATAGACCTCTCTCTTGGATGATTCGCTCAATGAGATAATGACGACCAGACTGGCCAACTGGCTCCATGGTTGTCAACTCCATCTTCTGATTCGCTTCCCGAGCGCAATTCGCTAATGGTGGTCGCGATGGTGCGTTATGATTGTGAAGAAGTTGGGTGTTTTCCGAGAGGGTACGAGAATGTGTTGGTAAAAGCACCGATAAGAGTTGGGTCTGACTTGGGTGCAACCTGCCAAAGCGGAGCGTCAGAAATGAGAGAGAGCGCGATGGAGACATTGAAGCTGTGATGAAAGGAGCACTTGCATGAACTGTGAACTGTTGCATTCATGTCCTTAGCATAGATGAAAACACGCTGTTGCCTGATGCTAGCCGCCCAATTGTCACCCTCCCCGTCATTGGCTATTAGTCAGCCAATGACCTCTGCTAGAATCTAGGCGGCAACATCTTACGTCGCAGAATGGCACTTGACCCTTAAAGTACTGGTAAACATGCAAATAATTTCCTCCTCCCCAAAGCTGTTTTCGTGGTGTCTGTGTTGCCAGACAATGCCAGTATAATACTACACAGAACATGAGATTAACCGCCCAACATGCATTACTATGACTTTGTGCGTTACAAAATGTGTTATGTTAGCCAATGAAGCATCTGCAACACTTTTTTCTCTTGTTTCACCAGCCGCCACCCCTTGCCAGCACTATTACCCAGTACTGCCTGTCGCAACATATATATGTGCGTGGTCTGCCTCGAGTACTACCGTCTATGAAGCACAGGACATACTCTTCAAGATATTGTCAATAATTCAGTACCTGCGAACATTTTTACAAATCTATTGCTGCCCTTGATACAGTTCAGGGATGCCACTAGAGCCGGCGACTGTTTGAACTTTTCTTTTCTCTTTTTGTTTGATCTCATCCTTCATCTTACTATTGGCTCCTCTCTTGGAGTATCAGCCAGCCCAATTGTGACCTTTATAAACACAGGAGAGTTAGACTTAAATCACCCAAGTCTGACTTGTTGCAACAATGTCGGCGAGATATGTGTCAAGCCAACTTATCAGGAACATTCAAAAGGGCACAAGGGTCGTTGCTGTGGAATATGTCGACAAGACAAGTGCCTGGACCCGTCCACAAGGCTTCCCTTCCGAAAGTGTCAAATCAGACTTCACTCAGGTTGTCGAGGAGAACATTGATAGTCTGAATCCTGCAACAACTCGAGTTGCCATGAAGTACGCTCCTCTACCCTTTGCACAATACTGAAAGCTAATCATTAAATCAGGGAATCCGAGCATCGAAGCGACAATGATAAACGGTTGCATTACACTGGCTACGAACTGGACAACAAGGGCACTGTTCTCGAGACACGGCATTTTGTTAAGCAGAAATAGGCCTGATCGTCTGTTTCCTCAGAGCTGATGGGGTCACCTTTGTCACATCTTGCTCAACCATGCCTGTGGAGGTTTTACACAGCATGCGCTGTCTAGAGAACGGCCACACTCGGCTTCTTTGATTGGACTGCAACCCTCTCTCTTTCAATTCCGTATAACATGTTATTGGTGGACAGATGTTGTATAAACTCTTTTTGGCTGCTGCCCAAGGGTCAGCTCCCGGCTCTATCTACACGTGACTGTAAGAATGTTATCCCGGTGCCGAGCGCCGACCTCTATTCAGGGGCTTCGCCCGTCTTCGCTCTCTAAGAACGACGAGATTGAATATATAGTGTGATATAGCTGAATCTATGGCTTCATTTCTTTCTTCCGCTGAGATTAGTGGCTTCTAGCCAACACTCCTTATGTTAAAGTCGCAGTGTCACGATTCGACGGTCACAAAAGCGACGGTATGAAAGGCGGTGTTGATAGATCTGGCAGAATCCACCGATATACCCTCCATCCTAGATAGCTCGCCTTCGTTTTCTTCCTTTCCTTCCTCAGCTTTGGATCTTAGTACGATAGCCGCCTTACTCCCCAGATCTGAATCCGATTGATGGGTTTCTTGCTGAGTTTTCTATATCGACAGGAATGTGAGGAAAGCCACCTGCCAAATAGTTGTGATGAGTTATCTGGCGACAACATAAATGCCCTTCTTGACAGTTTCCATAGTTAGGATCTCTCCGTTTGATGAATCCATGTTGATTCCTTTCGGTGGTTAATGAAAGGAGTAGTCATGTATTCTACTTGAGGGGACAAGGTGCCCTTCTTTTCGTTGACTACCCAGTCAGAAAGTACTTTCCGTTCTCCTGGTCGACCCACACTCGACAACATCTGGTGTATTGAAAATCGATGGTATTGAGACAATACACTGGCCCAGACCCGTGCCCGCTATCTCCCATCACTTCACAGGTCCATAAAGCACGGCGCATAGACCTAGAATCGGTTCTTTGAGCTGAGAAGGATGGCTGCTTCCAGTTCTTATTGGCTCACTGTAGGATTGATCTGCGCAAATAGTAACCGACCCTCAGTCCTCACCAAGGTTATTTCAGTGGAGATAAATTCTCCTGAATACGCACGGGCGTGCGGAGGCGTGGTGTACCATGCGTGGGCTGGAACACCTTCCCGTCTTTCCAATTGCAGCGTTAATCAGCGCCCCTATTAGTCAAAGCTGCTTATGTTCCAGCCGCTCCATGTGTAATGCAAATAGTTAACCAGGATTTCATCCTAGTCCGGGAAATCTCTGCCATTGGAAATATAGTGCCACCTAGCCCTCTTACCTCTGACTCGAGCAGCACATACAGTAACCATCATAAATACAGTTCAATACAGACTCTCTTACAGGTCCAGACCAATAAGTGACCTAGCCTGGGTTCTAAGAGACATCTCACCACAAGACTAAGTCTTGCGGAAATAATACATGCGTCTGTGGCGTAGGAGGGAAAAGTCGGAATGGGTATCGTATCCCAACGTCAGCGACCTATTAGACACTGGCGAAGGGCTCTTCCTCGAACGACCTTTCTCATAGATGTAATGGGGTCTCACAGGGACACACAATAGGAGTGCTTCAACAAACAACAACAATGACTAGGTCAGAGGCAACGCCTACTAGAGCTATACCGAAGTATACCACTAGTAGTAAGAAGTCTTACTGACCCCCAGAGTAAGTATCTTAGTAACAAGAGAATGATGGAGTGAATTGAGCGCGAGTGAGGAAAGACTAGATACATGATGGTGAATGAGTGTCCTTATATCTCCCCCTGGTATACGTTTAGTAGACTGGTGGTAGATGTTTGGTATATGATATCTCCTTGGCGTCTATCGCCCATATACCATTCGTATACCATATGTCTTGGCAGTCACGTGACTAAGGCTTTTCTTGAGGTGGGAATGGTTGGTTTGAGTGTTGTTTCCTTTCGTCAATTAGGTGCCGATCAGGCCGTTCCGTAACACAGATCTCATCCACTTTTTCGTTTTAATTACAGCATCAAAGGAAAATAGAAATTAAGCTCAAGCTACTGCTGTATAGAGAAGATGCCCTTACTATTCAATTTGAATATGATGTTTGTGCTGCTCTGAGAATAGTACCTAATGAAGCTCATGTTTTCTCAAACCACTGAAGATAGATCACAACACAAAAAGGCATTCTGGTCTTGTAACATGTCCAAAAAGTCTCTCTATAAATCTAAAGGGCTTTATCTCCAATATCACAGCAATGTAGAATCCATAGATAGAGCAGGACATTTAGAAACACCATTGAGGAGAAGATCATGCCTTTACATTAGAAGCCGATAGAACAACACCGTATAGTAACCCAGAGCACTTTTCTGTATGGCCTTAGAGAACCATATACAGTGTCGACAGTGAGCAGACCTTTTTTCTGTTTTCTTCTCTTTAACATGTCCTTTACTCTGAACCAAACTAAAGGTGGATAATAATGAACCATCTAAAGACTCCAATGGGGCTAAGCATTAGTTATGAGCCAGCTCAAACTCATAGGCATCAAAAAGTGATGGCTAGTTTGGGGCCAGTGACTCAGGTGGGGTGTGACTACAATCTTAGTACCCTGTATTATTGGGCTCACATGCTTGTCCCATGCTCACCTCT